GTACTGTATTACTGTAGTCTTGTTAACCACTGTACAGTACTGTATTAGTCTCTTGTTAACCACTGTACAGTACTGTATTAGTCTCTTGTTAACCACTATACAGTACTGTATTAGTCTCTTGATAACCACTGTGTTGTATTACTGTAGTCTTGTTAACCACTGTAGTGCTGTATTACTGTAGTCTTGTTAACCACTGTACAGTACTGTATTAGTCTCTTAAACACTGTTATTGCACTGTAGTCTTGTTACCACTGTACAGTACTGTATTACTGTAGTCTTGTTAACCACTGTACAGTACTGTATTAGTCTCTTGTTAACCACTGTACAGTACTGTATTAGTCTCTTGTTAACCACTGTACAGTACTGTATTACTGTAGTCTTGTTAACCACTGTACAGTACTTTATTACTGTAGTCTTGTTAACCACTGTACAGTACTGTATTAGTCTCTTGTTAAACACTATACAGTACTGTATTAGTCTCTTGTTAACCACTGTACAGTACTGTATTACTGTAGTCTTGTTAACCACTGTACAGTGCTGTATTACTGTAGTCTTGTTAACCACTGTACAGTACTGTATTACTGTAGTCTTGTTAACCACTGTACAGTACTGTATTAGTCTCTTGTTAAACACTATACAGTACTGTATTACTGTAGTCTTGTTAACCACTGTACAGTACTGTATTACTGTAGTCTTGTTAACTACTGTACAGTACTGTATTACTGTAGTCTTATTAACCACTGTACATTGTATTACTGTAGTCTTGTTAACCACTGTACAGTACTGTATTAGTCTCTTGTTAAACACTATACAGTACTGTATTACTGTAGTCTTGTTAACCACTGTACAGTACTGTATTACTGTAGTCTTGTTAACCACTGTACAGTACTGTATTACTGTAGTCTTGTTAACCACTGTACAGTACTGTATTAGTCTCTTGTTGAACACTATACAGTACTGTATTAGTCTCTTGTTAACCACTGTACAGTACTGTATTACTGTAGTCTTGTTAACCACTGTACAGTACTGTATTACTGTAGTCTTGTTAACCACTGTACAGTATTGTATTAGTCTCTTGTTAAACACTATACAGTACTGTATTACTGTAGTCTTGTTAACCACTGTACAGTACTGTATTAGTCTCTTGTTAAACACTATACAGTACTGTATTACTGTAGTCTTGTTAACCACTGTACAGTACTGTATTACTGTAGTCTTGTTAACCACTGTACAGTACTGTATTACTGTAGTCTTGTTAACCACTGTACAGTACTGTATTAGTCTCTTGTTAACCACTGTACAGTACTGTATTACTGTAGTCTTGTTAAACACTATACAGTACTGTATTAGTGTCTTGTTAACCACTGTACAGTACTGTATTACTGTAGTCTTGTTAACCACTGTACAGTACTGTATTACTGTAGTCTTGTTAAACACTGTACAGTACTGTATTAGTGTCTTGTTAAACACTATACAGTACTGTATTAGTCTCTTGTTAACCACTGTACAGTACTGTATTACTGTAGTCTTGTTAACCACTGTACAGTACTGTATTACTGTAGTCTTGTTAACCACTGTACAGTACTGTATTAGTCTCTTGTTAAACACTATACCCAATTACTGCCTTAGTCTCTTGTTAACCACTGTGCAGTGCACTGTATTACTGTAGTCTTATTAACACTGTACAGTACTGTGTTAGTCTCTTGTTAAACTATACAGTACTGTATTAGTCTCTGTTAACCACTGTACTTGTTAACCACTGTACAGTACTGTATTACTGTAGTCTTGTTAACCACTGTACAGTACTGTATTACTGTAGTCTTGTTAACCACTGTACAGTACTGTATTAGTCTCTTGTTAAACACTGTACAGTACTGTATTAGTCTCTTGTTAAACACTATACAGTACTGTATTACTGTAGTCTTGTTAACCACTGTACAGTACTGTATTAGTCTCTTGTTAAACACTATACAGTACTGTATTACTGTAGTCTTGTTAACCACTGTACAGTACTGTATTAGTCTCTTGTTAAACACTATACAGTACTGTATTACTGTAGTCTTGTTAACCACTGTACAGTACTGTACAGTGACCCCTCGGTTAACGAACTCAATCCGTTCCAGAAGGTCGTTCATTAACCGAAAAGTTCGTTAACCGAAACCATTGTTTCAATGGGTTTTTGGGTAATTGGTTCCAGCTCACCGAAAATTTCCTAAATTCAACAAAAATGGCAGAAAAGTTCACTTACTTTGAGGTGTGTATGGAGGAGGCTCCTGGATGATGATGATGGAAATTAGAATGGGGTTGGAGGAGAAGGAAGAAGAGAAGGCATTGGGGTGGAGGAGAAGGAAGAAGAGAAGGCATTGGGGTGGAAGAGAAGTCACCCCATGGCACCATTTCACCCATAAAATTTTAGCTCTCTTGGTGTAATTCAAGAATATTTTCTTTAAATCAACACTGCACTGCATTATATATTGTCAATATGTAAAATATATTTCAAAATGACCAATAATTTGCTTGGAAACACAGAAAAAAAGCGTTTAGTTGAAGAGAGTCTCAAGCAAGATGTTACCTCCAGTGAAAACAGAGAGACTAACGCCTGTTTGCTGTGTTAAGAGGCTGGATGCCGCGCATTAAACTAGTCACTTTACCTTCAATTATGTTCAATAATTGTTAAAATGACTAAAAAATTGAATATTAAACTTTTAAAATTATTGAATAGTATAAACTTCTTGATATTTACTAAAATAGTAAGGAATTTAAGCCCTAGAACCGATTAATGTATTGGCGGATTGATACTAAAGCTGGTTGCCCGGTCAGTGCAAGCGAAAACATGTTGAGGTCGGTTCGTAAGAAATTCGTTAACCGAATTTTTGTTCGTTAACCGAATTGAAGATCCTTATGGAAGGCAGTTCGTTAACCGAGGCGTTCGTTAAACGAGGGGTCACTGTATTACTGTAGTCTTGTTAACCACTGTACAGTACTGTATTACTGTAGTCTTGTTAACCACTGTACAGTACTGTATTAGTCTCTTGTTAAACACTATACAGTACTGTAATAGTCTCTTGTTAACCACTGCACAGTACTGTATTACTGTAGTCTTGTTAACCACTGTTCAGTACTGTATTACTGTAGTCTTGTTAACCACTGTACAGTACTGTATTAGTCTCTTGTTAAACACTATACAGTACTGTATTACTGTAGTCTTGTTAACCACTGTACAGTACTGTATTACTGTAGTCTTGTTAACCACTGTACAGTGCTGTATTACTGTAGTCTTGTTAACCACTGTACAGTACTGTATTAGTCTCATGTTTAACACTATACAGTACTGTATTACTGTAGTCTTGTTAACCACTGTACAGTACTGTATTACTGTAGTCTTGTTAACCACTGTACAGTACTGTATTACTGTAGTCTTGTTAACCACTGTACAGTACTGTATTACTGTAGTCTTGTTAACCACTGTACAGTACTGTATTACTGTAGTCTTGTTAACCACTGTACAGTACTGTATTAGTCTCTTGTTAAACACTATACAGTACTGTATTAGTCTCTTGTTAAACACTATACAGTACTGTATTACTGTAGTCTTGTTAACCACTGTACAGTACTGTATTAGTCTCTTGTTAAACACTATACAGTACTGTATTACTGTAGTCTTGTTAACCACTGTACAGTACTGTATTAGTCTCTTGTTAAACACTATACAGTACTGTATTACTGTAGTCTTGTTAACCACTGTACAGTACTGTATTACTGTAGTCTTGTTAACCAATGTACAGTACTGTATTACTGTAGTCTTGTTAACCACTGTACAGTACTGTATTACTGTAGTCTTGTTAACCACTGTACAGTACTGTATTACTGTAGTCTTGTTAACCACTGTACAGTACTGTATTACTGTAGTCTTGTTAACCACTGTACAGTACTGTATAACTGTAGTCTTGTTAACCACTGTACAGTACTGTATTACTGTAGTCTTGTTAACCACTGTACAGTACTGTATTACTGTAGTCTTGTTAACCACTGTACAGTACTGTATTAGTCTCTTGTTAACCACTGTACAGTACTGTATTACTGTAGTCTTGTTAACCACTGTACAGTACTGTATTACTGTAGTCTTGTTAACCACTGTACAGTACTGTATTAGTCTCTTGTTAAACACTGTACAGTACTGTATTAGTCTCTTGTTAACCACTGTACAGTACTGTATTACTGTAGTCTTGTTAACTTGTAGTATTACTGTAGTCTTGTTAACCACTGTACAGTACTGTATTAGTCTCTTGTTAACTATACAGTACTGTATTAGTCTCTTGTTAACCACTGTACAGTACTGTATTACTGTAGTCTTGTTAACCACTGTACAGTACTGTATTACTGTAGTCTTGTTAACCACTGTACAGTACTGTATTAGTCTCTTGTTAAACACTGTACAGTACTGTATTAGTCTCTTGTTAACCACTGTACAGTACTGTATTACTGTAGTCTTGTTAACCACTGTACAGTACTGTATTACTGTAGTCTTGTTAACCACTGTACAGTACT